GGATCGTTGATACTCTACCGCTGCCGCGACCCGTGTCGAGCGCGGCAACTGTTACACAAAAATAATCCTTATAGCATGATTCAGTATTCACGTGCGACGGCGCGATGGCTTATTTCATGTATAAGTTTGGTGTTTCTATACCGAGTATTATAAACGTAAGAGTAAACAAATATGATCAGAATGCTCCGAACTGCTAAGCTATCGGGAGTTACACGTGTTATTGTGAGTCAACCATAAAAGATAGACATATGCTGTTGCGGGATATTTTTTAGACAATTTTATGTAGAATATTTCCATCGTACATGATTTCTATGTAACTTTAATCATTAAGGCTGCACACGCGACGGAAGCTTAAAAAATGGAGTAACTCCTCCCGTTTTCCCAACATTTCCCTTCACTACTCTGCTCCTACTGATTGTAGCGTGATGAAAAGTATACTATAACCTGCCTAGGAGTATGAAGAATAATTGTACCAAGTTTCGTTAAAATCCGTCGAGTAGTTTTTGTTTCTATAAGGAACATACACACAGACAGACAGACAGACAGACAGACAGACAAAAAATTTACTGATTGCATTTTTGGCATCAGTATCGATCACTAATCACCCCCTGATAGTTATTTTAAAAATATATTTCATGTACAGAATTGACATCTCTACAGATTTATTATAAGTATAGATGTAGATAGTTAGTAGGTAGGTACTATGTAGATAGTTTTATGAAGGCTCCACACTTGTGTCTTGGTATAATAGCGGGAATTCCCGATCAATTCACATCAGTGGCGATGATGCTCTACATCTAAAGCGCGTAAAGCGGAGTTTCAGGGCACTACGGACTCGCAAACGTTATGTATTCGATTTTTGTTCGTGCTAAGGGTACAGTACCCCTAGCACGAACCAATATCGAATTCGAATCGTTTGCGAGTCCGAAATGTCATTGTCAAATGTGTACTGATTTTTAATTCACGTTACGCACTTTTTGGCGCTACTGTACAAGTTTCCATACAAAATTTGACATTGACATTTCGGTTTGCAAACTATTCGAATTCGATAATGGTTCGTGCTAGGGGCACTGTACCCTTAGCACGAACCAATATCGAATTCGTAACGTTTGCGAGTCCGAAACGTCATTGTCAAATTTGTACTAACTAACATTAGCGCCATAACGTACGTAACGAGAACTAAAAATCAGTACACATTTGATAATGATATTTCGTACTCGAAAACGTTACGAATTCGATATTGATTCGTGCTAAGGGTACAGGGCCTTACCCAGTAACAACCAGACAATACTCCTGCGCCGGCAGTGCGGATGTAGTTGCGGCACCCGATTTCCAACTGGTCGCACAATTATTGTTATACCTAGTACTTTCTAAAAGCTATAGGCAAAACCAAAACTGGCGAGAAAAGTTAAACTACAAAGGTTTTCTTTACTAGAAAAAAATCTATTCTTGCGACAATGTGTTAGGCAGATTCGAACGTGCGTCTTCCGCTGTTCAGGTAGATGTACTAACCGCTAAGCAACCCGTCTATATATTGCCTGATGCTTTGACCGCGTGGAATTTATTCTTTAGATTTATTAATCGAGCAGACTGATGCATGAAAAGGAAGAAAGGAAAGGAACTCGATGGTGCAGGTGGTTGACGCGTTCGGCCTGAGATCGTGGAAGTTAAGCAACTTTCGCAATGGCCGTTCATCAGATGGGTGACCAAAAACTGATTATCTCAAGCTCCTCCGTCGGTCCTACCTGCATCTGCATTTGTTAACACCCACCACCAATCCATAATGGGTCCACGTGGTGGGTCACTGCCCAGACTCGCCCAATTCCATCCATAGGGAAAGCTGTGTGTGTCCCAGCAGTGGGGAAATAAGTAGGCTGCTTTTATAACAAAGTTAATCTTACAAGCCTGTAGCGTAGCGAACTAACACGGTTTTGTAGTGTTTTGTTCCTCGGGCTATATGGCCCTGCCTACTTACTGCTTTTACGACATTAAAATCTCATAAGAGTGACAGTAGGATAGACGACGATAACCACAGGAAGTCTAATGGGGCCGCTAGTTACGGATCATCATCAGTAAAAATGGACCTTCAGTTTGCATATGGAAATAAAACAAACTCATGCATATCAATTCGATTAGTATTCAGAAAAAGAATTCACAAATAAAATGTACAAAAAAAATAACAAATTATTTTATAGTAAGTACTTATTGGGGAAATACAAACTTATTCTAATGGCACGGCTAGTGTTAACCCTTTAAACATCCACACACATCTCTTCCGGCAAAGATAGTTTATTAAAAAGAGGTTGATCCGCACTTGCGCGCGGCAAGTGCTTAGCTCACACTGTCTATTGACACAATGCAGCTTAGTCGCATAATATCAGAGGCTGGTGATTCGCTAAAATAAATCAAAATGCCGAATTGTGTGTTTCGAAAGTGTAAAACTACATTAAGAAAGTTAAAAAGGACGAACGAATTCTGACTAACACACGTTTGAATGTGTAACTCGGCAGATCAAATTCGAATCGTCGCGCGTTAGAAGATACCAATATCTACCTCTTTTTAATACACTATATTTGTCTTCGGGTATCACGAAACAAAACAATACTAATTCATGAAAATAGGCATTACACACACTTCATAGTTACTAAGTTATAAAATTTCATGTCATCACCAGGGATATAGTTATTGACAGCAACCGTTAGAACTATAATTCGCAATGAATACTAAACACCATAAAAGATGGGGCACACGTAGAAGCTTTATTAAAGCATAAATAGAAAGGCTGATATTATAAGGTATATGTTTTATGATATTGTGATGACATCAGCCGATCGACGACTATCGTTGAGCGATCATGTCGAAAATTCCTCAAATTGACAAAGTAAAACCAATGACCATTGACTTTAAAGATGCATCTAAAATGACACAACCATAGGTATTTTTAAATATATTTTTTCCGTTGGAAATTTTATACTTACGTTACATACAAAATTTGACATTACTGTCAACACTAAAAAGAAGGCGATTATAGCGGATGGTTAAAGGGTTAACTTTCCTTTATCAAAAAAGGAAAAATATTTCCAAATTATTTCAAACCTTGGACGGATAGTACAATTACTTAGATTCGAGATAAAAATTCAAAGTTTTTAAGTCACTTCTGACTAACATTTTGTTTACATTTTATGTTTATCTCATTGTAGGTTCTGCATTGTTTTGGCATTGTAATAGTTCTAAGTGCACAAGTAAACCTTTGTTATTGCATAAATTACAGGATATCGACAGAAGAATTACAAGTGCTAGTCGGGGTCGACTAGGTAACATTTAAGTACATTTAATTACAATACATAGTTGTATATAAAAAAAACTGATTAATAAATTAGCAATAACGGAATAAAAATACTATTATTATGAATACCCATTCATTATTACTTAACTTAAGTAAATAAGTAATTAGTAGCAATATATTACAGAGGACGATTAATTTCATTCTAGCAAGAATTTGTATTGAGCTTTTACAATATTTGCTGCTTCACACACATAATACTGTAGATTTTAATATGTTTTATCTACATCCAAGCTTTAAAACCTGTATTAAAGATTCTGATACAGTTAGCTTATTGCCAACATTAAAACATACAATGTCCTAATAACCATAATATCATCCACACTGATGATAATAAATTATAATGTTGTACAAATTTTGAAAATTTTCATAACACTTCGCCTTTTAGATACTTTCCACGCAAAGAGTTTACTCATCAGACAGCCACAATTTTTACTACTTGATGCGTGGTGTCTTATGGATTTCAAAGTACGAACATTGTCATTCACGGGCCTTTCACTACCACAGCGCCGAAATTATTCATGATTTTTTAGTTCTTAGAACGCCCCATGGTTTCAGAATATTTTGTAGAGGATTATTATCATGGGTGTAGATACCCTTGTATGAAACTGATTATAATTGGGTATTAAAACACATATATAATACTATTAATGTTTTAATACCCCTCATTATACAACAGTTGCATAAATAACTATGTTTATATCCACACGTATCATTGAATAAAACACTTTTATGCGGGTATAGAGCCGAGCGTCATTCTTGTTCAATAATATTTTTTTTGACGTTTGGGATTTTTGACAGGCTCTCCTTGGCCTGAGGCATAATACTAAGAAAATAAAAAAACAATATATCAAAGGACTTTATCAAATATTTTAAATTTTTACTTGTAATGTTCTGATATTTATTTAAGTTGGACATGATATATTGCTGTGTGTGACGATGCAAATAATTTAACCTTACACCTATTATTGACTTTCAATATTTTATATAAGTAATAATAATCATATCATAGAAGTAAATTATACAAAAGTATAATAATATATAATACTAAAAAATACACAGATTATCAAAATCGGACGGATTTTCGGAATGTATCGATTAAATCTATTGGACGTTTCAAACTTACAAACTATCATTCAGCCTTCTATCTAACGTAACTAAACTTACTAAATCAAGAGTTGGACTATCATCTCGGGCCCTCACAAACGTAAAAGCTTTTTGTGCTATCCAATCGTTGAACAAAAATCATCTTTATTTCCAAGTGCATAAAGCAGACTTTTCGCCTTCAAGATGTAGAGCGCTAGATCTCACAAAATGTAATAATATCATCACCTTTTTTGAAGTCTGTTTAAAAATGGATATAATGTTTAACAGAGAAGCGAGCTTTTTCAATTTCACTTCTTAGCAGCTTCATTTACTGTGATTACATGTCTTAAGTGCACAATACTCTCCAATCGATCGACAACCTTAGTGGTTGTATTCAAAGTTTTATGTTGAATGCAACGATATTAAAAACCCAAATTATAAACGTGCGCACAAAATATGTCCCAATCAAGAAGTGCTGGAATGCCACCCAAGCACTACTTGGTTGTCAGTCCCTCGCGGACCTTTAAAAAAGTACGTACAGGGTTTTTAATATAGTTGTTTGGATTGGTCGTTAATAAAGCATGATGGCCCCGTTAACCTTTTCCTCTAGGGCCGGGGCGATAGTGTCAGCGTCGCGCCCTTCAGCCGCAGCAATCGCTATGCAAACGATGTTTACCAAGGCGGATATGGAGGCTGCCACTACCAACCTGGGTTACAATGAAAAAAAATGTTTGAATAGCCAAATAACCAATCAAATGGCTTTTAATCTTTGTTACACCTTTACGGCTGGAGCGATTTTAATAAAATTTGGTATGGAGTCAGCTGACGCCCTGGATTAACACATAGGCTACGTTTTACTGCGGGAAAATATCCCTAATAATCCACGGGTAACACAGCGGGGCACAGCTAGTCAATCATAATCTCAACTGCCAGCTAACTGACCGCAAAACCTAACGTCCAATGGCTCTTTTTTCATTTGATTACACTAGGTTGTTAGCCCGAATACGAGTGTAAATGGAAATCAGGAAAACTAAGTGTGAATGAACGGCGTCGAGTACGTGCGTATTCGGATAGTTTACGTTTTCGTTACCCGAAACCGTTTTCCGGCCCGTATTCCTGTGTAAATATTACTTCGGGTTCCCGAATTACAGTAATGTCTTTCGTGCACCTGAATACGAGCTAACGAGCAAATGTAATCAGAAGAAGAAGAGCCATTAGACGGTAGGTTTTGCTGTCAGTTTGTTGGCAGTTGACATTGGGACCGATGCTGGCGTGATTCTCTAAACTTAAAACTAAATTTAACATCAGTCTTTCCTTTACATTCTGTATAGAGAATGACAAGGATACACTGTTGTCAAATTTAAGTTTAGATTTAGAGAATCGTGCCAGAATCGATACCATTATGGTGTCAGCTAACTCCATACCAAATATTATTAAAATCTCTCCAGTCTTTCGCTTTTATAAAATAAGTGTGACTAGCGGTCGCCGCTTTGTTCGCGTAAGCATTACTTTGTTAAAAATCCTTCAGGAACCTGACACTTTTTTGGGATAGAAAGTCTGCTATGTCTCAATCCAGGTCATGAACTATATGTGCACCAAATTTCATCCTTCGTTCGACCGACAAATGACTCCGCCCGTTACCTTAGCACGAACCAATACCGAATTCGTAACGTTTGCGAGTACGAATTGTCATTGTCAAATGTGTACTGATTTTTATATCTCGTTACGTCCATAAATGGCGCTGTTGTTCAAGTTTCTATACAAAATTTGACAATGACATTTCGGACTTACAAAACGCAGCGCGAGCGCACGGTTCCTAACTTAGGGGTTTTGCCCCCAGATTTAGGGGCTAGAAGTGTTAAAACGGACTTTTTTAGGGGCTGGAATTTTTTGGGGGATCTTTTAGGGGCCTTTTATCAAAACTTTCAATTAAATCGAAAAAGAAAGCGTGTGTTTTCTTTCAGTTTTGTACGTAGAATGGATTGCACCTCGATATGAAATGACTGAAATGACTGAAGTGACTGTGTGGCGGGTTGTTTCCTAAGGCTGTATGGACTAAAGTTAATAAACAGCTAAATATGATTTAAAAGCCTGTCAGCTCATTTTCGTTTGATTGTCCTTTGGGAAACTGTATTTATACAATAAAATAATTTTCTGTAACTAAATAAGTAACGTTTTAATTAAGGAGCAACGAAAGAATTTAGGTAATAAGTAGATACATATAAAATTCTATATTTAGGGGAATTTAAAAAATACTTAGGGGAAAATTTTGGTAAGGGTTGGTAACACTGCGCAAGCGCGACGACGTGTCCGCGACGCTTAACAACGGACTGCGTTTTCATTTCTCTCTTTACAAACGGCTGAGCTGACTGCGCGTTTTAACGCCCCCAAAGACAACGGCTAACTAGAGCCGAGGTCCGAGTCTCAGAGACGCCCTCTAATTGAGCCAACCCTTCAGGTCCGAGTGGTATATAAGCTCCAGACGGAGAGGAGACTCCCCCCGTGGGAGATGCCATCCGCCTGGAATACCTCTAGAGGCACTCGCCAATGCTCCACCCGGTGACTCTGTAAAGGTCATTGCTACTTTCTTTACAAATGACGAATATAAACGAATACCATTCAAGTAAAACCGTGACTTTTGAGAACAAATCGTTTGTATAGTTTTACGAATGAAAAATGTTGCCACGGACTTTGTTATTCGATCTTTAACCATTTGTGTGCTTTTTAAATTCATCGAAAGCATCTTTTTAACACAGAACATCCGCATTATTGTTATCGGGTGTGACTAAAGCGGATTGTGTTCATGCACCTAATTAAAGCGGTTCACATTAAAGCCGCGAGTGCCGTATCTTCCCTTTTTGTTTTAATCTAAGGACAGAAGTTATTAAAAATACAGCGCCATCTGGCGGCACTAAAATCATTAATTTCAATTTATTAGTACATGCCCGAACGAGGAGATTTACAAGTACGATTCTCATGCGTTTCGTACTTCATTGCGCGATCTTAAGGTTGAATAAAAACAATCCATTCAGAGTACGGATCAATGAACATTAAAAATCGTGTGATCGCGCGCGTAAATCGAATCTGGGGTTGAAAGAATTCATAGCGGTAATACGGTTCATGAAATACACTTCGCTGGGAAACCGACGGCGGACAACGGATAATTGACTTGAACTCCAAAAAAATAACACACTAGGCCCGATTTTGGCATGATTAGGAGAATCAATGCAAAATTCAATTCGAGAACAGTTTATCCATGCAATTGTTGCCAAATTTACTTTTTAACCGACTTAAAACAAGAGGCGGTTCTCAATTCATTAGTATAATTTTTTTTTATTGTTATTTGTGCATGATTCCTGACCGATTTTGATGACTCGATTTTTTGTTTGAATCAGTTTTTGGCGAGATGGTCCTATATTAAGTTGGTGAGGATCGTATCAGTACTTTCGGAGAAAACAACGGAACTCCTCAATTACAAACAGTACTCAATCGTGTTTGGTTATTTTAAGATATATATTTAAGATAAGAATGCAGACCAGGTACCAAGTACTTGGAAAGTTGATCTTACTCTGGCTTACAAAAAGTGAAACAAAAACTTTTTAACAAAAATAAAAACCGACTTCATAAAAATCAAACCAATAAAGAGCAAAAAAAATAATGCATATTCTTATTCATGCATTTGGAGTCGGTGCCATGCATATTGATAGATCTGAGATGATATTTACTACCTATGTGGCATGGCATCGCTACTAAATATACAAATAAAGAATATGCATCATTTCTTACTTTTAAGTAGTTTTGTTTTTAATAAGTCCCCTTTTTAAGTTTATAAAAATATACCAGATTATAAGAATATTACTGGTATATTTTCACAAAACCTTCATACTTACCAGAATGAAAGCCCAAGGTCTGCCATACCATCCGAAGACCAGGTGTTGGCTAGGTCCTCGTCAGACAAGACGTTGTGCTGCAGCCGCAGGAAATACTCTGTCAGCCACACCGATATGGCGCCCAGGGTGAACAGGACTGGAATTCCAAACAGAAGTAAGTATTATTTAAAGATGCCAGAACATCTATCGCCTTATTCCAAAACGCGGATTAAAAAAAGTTAGTCTTAGTTTTCACCTTGTTGCTCCTCTCTTCTTTTTAGCATACAATTACTTTTTATTTTATTCAATTCAATTCAATTTATTTGCATTAAACAGAGTACAAAAATAATGGTGTTACATTTCATCTAAATTGTATCTTAACCTATTTAGTCATAAAAAGATAACATGCAATTTTTTCTATTCAATTAACTATATAGATGTCAATAATTCTTATTATAATAATATATATATTCGATGTTGTCAATTTAGTGTTTTAATAATTATGATATCAACATACCTGCCAAAGAGTTGCTGATGAGCAACGGTTTCGGTGAGCACCGATGGCTAGCAGCCGAGCCCAGAGCGGCCAACACGCAAGCCCCGCCCGCCGACACCAGGGCCGCGCCCAACTGGCCCGCGGTGCCGCACCACGCCCAGCGACGGGCCGGGTGCGTCCCCGCTTTCACTTTAACCATACAAGAGACAATATAAGCATTCATCCTAGAATTTATATGAAAAGAGAGCCAGGGAAGCTATTAATTTCCACACGTATTAGAGAAGTTGCCTCCACCTTACAGGAGACTCTCGACAACTGGCCCGCTTTCTCTGTAACCATACACGTGTCGATGTAAGCTATTGCTCTGGATTTAGAATGAAAAAGGAGCCAGGGAAACTATTCTTTTCCACATTAATAAGGGCGCCCGTCTGGGATGTTGCCTCCACCTTACAGGAGACTAGACAACTGGCCCGCTTTCTCTAAATCTCTCTCTTTCTTCTCTCTAACCAAACATGTGTCGATGTAAACTATCGCTCTAGAATTTAGAATGAAAGAGGGAGCCAGGGGAACTATTATTTTCCACATGAATAAGAGCGCCCGCCTGGGAAGTTGCCTCCACTTTACAGGAGACTAGACAACTGGCCAACTTCTTCAAATCTCTCTCTCTTCTCTCTAACCAAACATGTGTCGATGTAAGCTTTCGCTCTAGAATTTGGCATGAAAGGGGAGTCACGGAAACGTTTATTTTTTCACTAAAATTGGAGCGGCCGTCTGGGAAGTAAAGAAAGACGCTAGTTTTGTATCCAACTGGCCCGCGGTGCCACACCACGCCCAGCGGTGGGCCGGGTGTTCCTTGCTTTCACTATATACACGTGTTAAAGTAAGCTTTCGATCGAGAATCTGGAATGAAAAGAGGGCCAGGGAAGCGTTTAATTTTCTACGTCAATTGGAGCGTCCGTCTGGGAAGTAAAGAGACAGGGCCGCGCCCAACTAGCCCGCGGTGCCGCACCACGCCCAGCGGCGGGCCGGGTGCCTGCCCGCTTTCACTGTAACCATACACGTAAAGCTAGCGCTCAAGAATTAAAGTAAGCTTTCGATCGAGAATCTGGAATGAAAAGAGGGCCAGGGAAGCGTTTAATTTTCTACGTCAATTGGAGCGTCCGTCTGGGAAGTAAAGAGACAGGGCCGCGCCCAACTAGCCCGCGGTGCCGCACCACGCCCAGCGGCGGGCCGGGTGCCTGCCCGCTTTCACTGTAACCATACACGTAAAGCTAGCGCTCAAGAATTTGGAATGAAAAAGGAGCCACGGACACGTTTATCCTTCCACACGAATTAGAGCCCCCGACTGGGAAGTTGCCTCCGCTATACTCTCGACAACTGGCCCGCAGTGCCACATCACCCTAAAATTTATATGAAAAGGGAGCCAGTAAAGCTTTTATTTTTCTATTTGATTTCTATTAAGCAAAGAGTTGCTAATGAGAATGAGCAACAGTTTCGGTGAACACACGATGCCAAGCGGCGGACTCTCTAGCCGCTCTAGCTAGAGGGGTGAGCAAGAACAACTGCTGAGAAAGTATTAGTATGCGCAGAGTTAGTTCGGTCTTACGTCCGGTAGGGGCGTTGCCTAGTTTCCATGGAAACTTTGACGATGACGACACGAATACTATCTCGCTAGTTGTTTGTGCTCCTCCTTTAAGACGGAAGCCCCGCCCGCCGATACTAGGGCCTAACCATGGTTTCATATTTATGCTTAAGAAGTCTACCGGGATTTTCTGCCATTAAGCTCCAGAGGCATCAACATAAATGGCGAACGCATCTCTCACTTGCGATTTGCAGACGACATCGTCATCCTGGCAGAAACCCTGCAGGACCTACAACAGATGCTGAATGACCTGGCTGACTCTTCTATACGCATCGGCCTACGGATGAACTTGGATAAAACCAAGGTCATGTTCAATGAACATGTTCTACCGGAACCGATTGCAATACACGGTGCCGTTCTCGAAGTTGTTCAAAAATATGTATACCTCGGGCAGAAATTGCAGTTAGGTAGAAACAACTTTGAGGACGAGGTGAATAGAAGAGTTCAGCTAGGTTGGGCAGCGTTTGGGAAGCTACGTCAAGTCTTGACATCGTCGATCCCACAGTGCCTAAAGACGAAAGTCTTCAATCAGTGCATCCTACCTGTGATGACATACGGAGCCGAGACGTGGACACTGACGGTACGGCTGGTCCACAGGTTCAAAGTCGCTCAGCGCGCTATGGAAAGGGCTATGCTCGGCGTTTCTCTGAAGGATCGCATCAGAAATGAGGTAATCCGACAGAGAACCAGAGTTATCGACATAGCCCACCGGATTAGCAAGTTGAAGTGGCAGTGGGCTGGGTATATTTGCCGAAGAACCGATAACCGTTGGGGTAGACGAGCTCTGGAGTGGAGACCGAGTCTAGGCAAACGTAGTGTAGGACGTCCTCAGGCACGATGGAGTGACGATTTGCGCAAGGTGGCTGGCAGGAGCTGGATGCGAGTAGCCCAAGATCGATCTGAGTGGCGTGCATTTGGAGAGGCCTATGTCCAGCAGTGGACTATGATGGGCTGTTGATGATGATGAAGCTCCAGAAGACTCGCCTAGTTTATTACATAAACAAACGCAACTTGCGACCGCAAGCAGCATGAGTCACTGATTCGATTTCTTGTATGAAATCACAAGCAAATCATAATCGTTATCTTGGTTTACAACAGCACGAAGGTGTGTGGGCGGTGTTGTTTACGTATTTTGAGCATTGTCGCAAGTTAGGTAATAAAGTCCTGCCGATTAACCTTAGTCGACTGTTATGAAACTCGCGGGTAGTAGAAAGGAACAGTGAATTGTATTCTTTCTCCATCACGGCACGAATAATCTAGTTCCACCTGCCCATCCTCTGACCAAAAGCCGATTCCGCTATCCTATGGAGAACACTTTTAACTGCAGGATTGCACGTTATTTGGGTGCAGTATTCTGTTTGGTGGAGGCTACTTCTCCAGACAGGCGCCCTGACTCCAGTAAGAAAACTGGTTTTCTGAACTTTGCTTAATAATATGTAATGTTATGTATTATAGGTTATGTATGTCTTCATACACTCACCACTAAAATCATGAGTACGCCAGCCATAACCCAGGGTAAGTTTCTTCCGTCCTTCGAACAGTCCAAAGCTGATATGACCCTCGGACGACATAGGACTTGACGTCCTTCGCGCATGCGCATCAATCCATTGCGTGGTCCCCAGGGACGCAACTATCAAAGCTATGCACAGGCACGCACCAAAAAACGTCGCAAATATCATAGACCGCTTAAACAAATTGAGCTTCATTTTGAAAATCTAACGTATACATACAATACACATAATCTGAACACTTTCACTTGCGATCAAGTTCGTCAATTATCCGATAGATGGCGTTACGTCACATTGTTGGCGCACGTTCGGCGTTAATTGTGCGCTTTTTTTATCTGGGTTTTCTACTTATTCAGCCGATGGGAGTGTGTTCAAGTCCATTGTGAACGCTCTTGAAGCCTGCCGAACATAACAATGGCTCTTCTCTTTTGTCACGCCTTCTCACGGTGTTCTCAAAAGAAAATCTGAAACAATAAGGAAAATCTATTATGTAAACTTCCAATTCGTTATATAGTAATTGATACCCTCGCAAAAAATTGTATAAGATTTACAAATTATTACAGTTTTCTAGTATTCAAAATTCATTGTCGGAAGTTATTTGTGTCTGATGTACGAACGTAGAATATACAAATAAGACTAAACCACGCCTTGGTTTATGAACTTTAAATTTCAAGGTCCCAGAAAATTATTTATCAGGATAATTTGATATTTGTATAAGTACTAAAATTAACTTCGTAATCATATACGTTAATTCCAGTACCCATTATGAATATCCATATATTGGAGTTATAATATGCATCGAAGTTTAGAGCACCCAGTAGAATATCAGGTCGTTATTGAGTAAGTTCATATATATTATTTTAGTGTAAGTTTTAGTTTTAGTGTAAGGGTTTCAAGTTAAAAAAACGAGTTAAGTACTATTTTCCAATGACATAACCGATAAGATTTAGTCTCAACTGAAAATGAAACTTATCACGCTAATTATAAAGATCTTAACTCAGTCACGGTATATAATTTGGATGAAGTTACCGTGTCATCCGCTCATAAATAATTTAGCAGCGAAAGTGATACAATTTTCTTCGCCGGAGTCGTTTATGATGAAGACATTTTTAACTTTAATAGTTAACATTTATTAAAATTGCTGATTACTTTATTTGAAGAGGATCTATTTTGGACCTGCAAAGAAGGAAGGGTAGGTCACACATGTATATCACAAGCAAATTCCTTTGCCGTTGAAACAATAGAAAAAATTCATTTTGTAAATTCTGCTTATATTTATATAAAGATTTACAGGCATATTTGATTCATATGTAAAGACATATTATGGATACCTTCTAAAGAGAAGATAAGCACAGAGATAAAATTTGAGTCATAGCTGCCAAACACATACCAGCTCAAGATCATGTGTTAGAATATTATGATATTGAGAACGGTATATAAGGAAAGGCAAAATGTAACGTGCTTCATGTTTACAAAGAGAAAAGATCATTCGACCTAAGGTTCCAATTCAAAGGATCATACACCACAAGCAAAGGAAATAAAACTGTTAACTCCAGGAAATAATAATCCCAATCTTGATTCGTTTACAGGCATTTAATCTTCAATAAAGATAATTACAGATTTGCTAATATTAATAAGTATAATGTGTATGCAATCAAAGGAAGCGAGTACAATTTTCTGCGTCTTGTCTTCTCTCAAGCCGTTATAATAAAAAAAACGATTGTTGCCGACAACGCCCGTCGGCCGCCGTCGTGATCATTCGGTAGTGTTCGGCGGTTCGCGTATTTCCCGCGCGTAGTTCAAGCGCGAACATCCTCCCCCGTTGAAGAAGAATTCTTCAACTCTTCAGTGCTGGACTCGTCGAAATGAAGAGGACAAAGTCGACTCAAAGCTCTTCGAATTACTCCATTGCTAGTACAAATGTCCGCGACTCGAGGAATTCCATCTTTACCAGGAAACAAAGCTTGGATTCTCCCCATTCTCCACTTTAATGGTGGCAAGTTGTCTTCTTTAATAATAACCAAATCTCCTTGTTTCAAACTGTAATATTGCTGCTTCCATTTAATACGATGCTGTAGTTCTGCTATATATTCGTTATGCCAGCGTGACCAATAGTGTTGTCTCATTTGTTCCAACTGATTATAGCGATCCAATCTGCTGATCTTTGCGTCTATCAACTGCGGCGATGGAAGTGCTGTCATTGGCCGTCCGATGAGAAAATGCCCAGGTGTGAGAGGACAAAGGTCACTGGGATTGGAGGACATGGGACAGATAGGACGAGAGTTAAGGATAGATTCTATTTGAGCGAATAACGTCGTAAGCTCTTCAAAAGTTAAATGTCTATCGCCTAAAATTCTTTTTAAATGAAATTTGGCCGACTTTACACCGGCCTCCCATAGTCCGCCAAAATTTGGTGCATACGCTGGTGAGAAATGAAATTTGATTCCTTCATCGGAACCAATCCGAGTTAAATCATTTTTATTATGCAAAACTAACCTATCCAATTCATTCTTAGTTCCCACAAAATTAGTACCGTTATCGCAAAATATATTCTTTGGTTTACCACGTCGTGCAATAAATCTTTTTAAGCTCAAAATAAACGCATCTTTACTTAAATCGCTTACCGCTTCCAGATGAAGAGCCTTGGTCGCAAAACAGACAAAAATACATAAATAACATTTGCTTATTTTGCAACCACGACCCTTTCTATCAGTTATATAAAAGGGACCTGCGAAATCAACGCCTGTTGTTTCAAACGGTATTCCCGGAGTGAGACGTTGGTTTGGCAGATTACCCATTAAAGGCTGCAGTGTCTTTGCTCGAAAACGTTTACAGATTCCACATTTGTGAGGTATACTTCTGGCAAGGTTTCTACCGTTAGTGACCCAAAACTGCTCACGTACCGCGGCTAATAGCAATTGAGGGCCCGCATGCATAAGACGCCTATGTTCATGTTCAAAAATAAGGACTGATAAGCGATGCTTTACGTCAAGAAGCATGGGATGCTTTTTATCGTAGCTAAATTTCGAATTATCTATTCTACCACCAACTCTAATCATACCTACTTCATCCAAAAATGGGTTCAGAGACAAAATCTTAGATTTGGGGTCTAAAAACTGTTTTTTTCTTCAGTGCCTGTATTTCTTTCCCGAATGACTCTGACTGAGCTAATTTTACTAAAGCATCTATACTGTTTTGTAATTCCTCTGTAGTTAAATATGACGATGTAATTTTTACTTGCGATTTTTGACAATTATTTATGAATCGTAATATATAGCCCATTACTCTCTTTAAGGTATTCAAATTAGAATATTTATTAAATATTTGAGATAATTCATTATCTACTACAGTTTGCAAGATAATAATTTTTTCATCATAGTTATGACATCTCTGCGAATTATACTTTTTGGCAGGCTACTGTGACTCATCCTGAGTTAAGAACTCGGGGCCTCCCCACCAAAAATTTGCAATTTTTTCCTCAAATTTATCTACACCCCTTGAAACGAGATCTGCGGGGTTCGCATCGGTGGGAACATACCTCCATTCATAATTTTCTGTCAAAGTTTTAATTTTGTTTACTCGATTTGCCACAAACACTTCTAATTTCCGACTTGCAGAGGTATGTAGCCACCCGAGAACTACCATTGAATCCGTCCAATGCACACAACGCCCTACCTGGCAACGCAGGACTTGCCTAACCTTGGCGCTCAACTCAGCAGCTAGCAGCGCACCGCACAGCTCAAGTCGTGGGATCGTCGTGGACTTCAAGGGAGCTACTCTTGATTTTGCGCATAACAGCTTTACCCAAACCCTTCCATTCTGATCCACTGAGCGTATATATGCACAGGCGCCATATGCTGCTTGAGAGGCGTCTGAAAATATATGTATATCAATAATTTTTACATTTTTACAAAACACATGTCTTGGCACATTCACACAAGACAGTGAATTAACCGAATTTACAAAGGTTGACCACATTAACATAATCTCGTCTGTCACCTTTTCATCCCATTCTAATTTGCATTTCCATAAATGTTGCATTATTAACTTTGCCTTAATAATAAATATACTCAACAAGCCAAGAGGATCAAATATTTTAGCTATAGCAGATAGCAAGTTTCTTTTTGTAATATTTTCCATTGTGGAAATACTTACGGGAAAAATAAAACTATCGGACAAAGGTGACCATGTTAACCCTAACGTTCCCGTAGTCGCTTTTTCATCTGCTATTATATGATTATCACTAGAGTTACTTTCATTGAATTGAACATTTGAATTTGTACGAAATTTCCTCAAATTGAATCCTGCCGATTTCAAAACATTTATAATTGATTTAAATGTTGTTTCTAATTCCTTCTCAGTTTCAAATCCTGTCAAAATATCATCGATGTAATAATCGTGTTCGATAATACCCTTTATTTTCGGGTTATTACATTCTTGAGCTAATTGATGAAGGCAACGCGTGCTCAAAAAAGGCGCAGACGCAGTACCATATGTGACCGTGTTTAGTTTAAAATATTGCAACTTCTCGCCTTCATTTTCTCTCCATATTATCATTTGCCAATGTCTATCACTTTCGTCGACCATTTTTTTCTATGTCTGCCGTAATGACAAAACTATGTTGTCTAAATCTCAATAAGATGCTAAACAAATCATCTTGTATAATCGGACCGACAGCCTGCACATCATTTAACGACCGCCCGGAGTTGGTCTTCGCAGATGCATCAAATACCACCCGAAGTTTCGTCGTTTCACTTTTCTCTCTCAGCACCGGGTGATGCGGTAAATAATAAGCAGGGTCGCATTTACTAGAAACTGATAAATGACCTAATTCCTTATATTCGTTTATAAATCTTACATATGATTCCTTTAAATCCGGTTGCTTTCTAAATCTTTTTTCTAAGTTATAAAAGCGTCTCTTTGCAATAAAAAGTGAATCACCTAATGTGTCATAAGGCGAAGTATGAAACGGAATTTTTACACAAAACCTACCGTTTTGTAACCTATACGTATTTTCTACAAAATGTTTTTCACAAAATTGCTCCTCTGTATTTTTCACTAAATCTGTGGATGGAATTTCTTCAATCAACCAGAATTTTTCTACCATATTATTTAGATCAAAGCTAAGTTGGCAGCTTACTGCATTTTTACTCGAACCTTGTGTACTCAAAGGACCCGATATCAACCAACCTAACCTA